ATAGTCACAATAAAGGTCGTGTAAACTGCAAAACCAATCTGTTTATGTTTTCTTCAGGAACATTTAACACTAATATTCACACGGCATCATCTAGTCAATCTTCAATGATGAGTAGATGAGCCTTGTGAACCAGAAACATGCATAGAAACCTATTGTACCACTCAGCACGAAGAAGGCATATGAAGCAATCAGCATGTACCCGAAATACAGAATACCAGATATCGGGTTTGTTATGTTCAGCTTTGTGAAGAAGTAGAATGCTGCATAAAGAAAGAGGTATAGTGCCGATGAGCCTGAGGTCAGGTAAGATCTCCACCACCAGAGGTAGTCCTCACTGCATAGCTGGAAATAGCAAAGCACAATTGCGATCTCTGCACAAGTGACAATTAGGATGTTGAACACGAGGAAGAGAAATCCAAAAATATAGTAGAACTGATGCAACCAGATTGATGTCAGGATGAAGAACAGCTCAATAAACACTGCCCCGAATGGGAGTATGCCTCCAATCAAGATAGAGAAGACCGGGGTCATGTACCAGGCTTGCTCAGGTATTTGCCTTGGAATTTTATTAGTTTTAACTGGATCCTCAATAGCTGGCTTCTTAAACCCAAAATAACTACCAACAAAAACAAGTGGAACAGAAATGCAGAACCACAAAAACACTAATGCAAACATGGTTCCGAATGGCACTGCCCCTGAAGATTTCTCACCCCAAATTAGAGCATTCAAGACAAAGAAAATGGCAAAGACAATTCCAGGGAACGTGAAAGCCGTTCGAAGAGTGATTTTCTTCCATTCTGTTCCCTTGAACATCTTGTAGAGACGAGCTGAGGAGTATCCAGCAAAAAGACCCATAAACACCCAGAGAAGAAGCATTGCCGTCATCAACCCTCCTCGGTTAGAAGGGGACAGGAATCCAAGTGCAGCAAAAATCATCATAACCAGTACCATTCCAAAGAACTGCACACCACTTCCAACATAAACACAGAGCAAATCAGAGTTAGTTGGCGGCCTGAAAACATCCCCATGAACCAATTTCCACCCAGTTTCTTCTTGAGCTTGTTCCTGGGTCTCTAACTGGTTATAGTTGGAGATGTCACGATAGAGGGTCCGTAACATAATCATTGCCACCATTCCAGACAGGAAAAGAACAACCATTAAAGAATTGACAATAGAGAACCAATGGATTTGGTCATCAGCCATCAAAAGATAAGTGTCCCATCTAGATGCCCACTTGACTTCACTCTCCTGTAAGGCAAAATGAAAGTAATACTGACCATTGGTCCTACTTTTGAACATATTATTATTCTGTCCACAGCTATTTAGGAAGCATTACCTCAAACTCCACATCATATGTGAAGATAATTTCCTTCTTATCTTCAATTTCCTGAGGAGAGTCCGAGCTCGTTACAGTGCGTTTAGAATGTGGATTGCAGGTTGTTAATTGTGTTTTATCATCCCAATTACCCTCGTATTCATGCTTAACACTGGAGGCACAAAGAGTTAGAGAATCCAACATCAATAAAAGGTCCAAAAATACTTCTGAAGCACAGAAATGAGCAGGTTGCTATCATTTCACCTGAATGGCTTGACTTCAAATCCCACAATTCTTGCTGCAGCAGTTTGTTCATCCTTGTGAAACTTTACAGTAAATGTCAAATGATTGTGAATGAAATACTTCTCCTCTTTGCTCTATGTCAACCACAAAAAGTGAAGGAGTCAATATTCTATCTCCTGTCTCAAAAGAGATTGGAGAGTCCTAAAGCAGAGAAATTTACTTACTCCAGTGTATTGTCCCCTGAGACCAACATGGAAACCGTGCTGATACACCAATAAATCTATATCCGATCTTTTATAAGGAACAACTAGAGGTAGGTTATCTAAAATCCTGTTTAAAAAGAAAGCATCAAAAGTAAAAAAAACCAGATGTACAATAAGAGAGATTTAGAATGCATAAAATTTTTCAACAAGGTTGTTTACATGTTCACCAGGTATTCATCATCTATCCTCTCCTTAAATTCTTTTGCTTGTTTCGCATTTAGTGTAATACGGCAAACAATATTGCACATCCGTGGTTCTCGCATTTTAATCTGCAAAATTAAGCTTCAGTGAGGAGTTCACTTTCTCATACATAACGCTTATAACACTTCCTTTTCCGAAAAATGACCCAGGCACTAAGTGGTTCGATTGAGTTAATTTTAGGGAAGAAGGAGATGAAAATGACAATAATGGAGACTTACCACATAGGGAGAATTCTCAATGCGATCACCACGAAGAACTTCCCCAAGATTCTCAGCACTGTCCATGATTTTCTCTGGTTTACAATACGGAAGGGAATAGTACGAGTAAGGAAGTTGAGTTTTTATAGAGGTCAATTTGTTTACTTTGACATTCAAAAGATCGCCCTGCATTGAAGAAACATCAAATGGATAATTCACGTTTGGACAAATTCAACTAGAGCCCAAAGGCAGGGCACTACACTCATCTATTTGTAGAAAGTATTGTGCCGTTCACATATTTCAGAGTTCAGGTAAAGAA